CTAAAGTAAACAGTGGAAAATTATCTGATACATTGTTAATTATCTTTCCACTTTCTCAGCAAGTTAGATTCATTAACTAAATGAGAGTACTTTCCCGAATTTGATCTTGCTGGTCTTGGCTCTTTCTTTGCAAGACTGTTGAAAATCATCTTGTTGAAAATCATCTTACAGAATGTCATCATATTTGGGGGATTAAAAACCATTTCTCTATTACCAAAGTAATAGATGTCTTTGATGCCACACAAAGCATATAAAAGATGTCTTTGACGTTACACCAATGCATATAAAATTATGGGGAAAACTTCCAAGTTCAAAATTATGTGGTTTCTATGTAATTATGCTTTTAGTAAGGTTGATTTGAACATTTTAAACAGCAGTATTAAAGGAAGCGTCTCTAAGAATTGTTCTTAATTGAATAGTGGCCATTATTCATTGGCGACTGATTTATCAGAAACCTTCTACATTTAAGGCCTGGGATTGCTTCTGGGAGAGGATACAAATATAAATTAGACATAGTTTATGATTTTCATTGAGAAATATTTTTAGCTTAACTGTTGTAGCAAATGAATCACATTATTCTTTCCTTTTGAGGGGTTTTAAAATCACTATGGGGATGATATTAGGATCATAATGAAACACATAGTTATTCAGCACCTATTAGGTGCAAAGCACCGTGCTAGTTTGGGACTTCAAAAAGGATTAGGTTTTGTGTTTGTCATTAAAGGTAAAAGGACAGACTCAGGCAGGTTGTAATAAGAAAAAAAGTAAAGCCATTAAAAAATGCTACATAAACTACTCATGAACAAAACAGGAGATGTAGGTGTATCGTGTTATATACTAGATATAAAATTCCGTATTACTTAAGTAATTGATTATTGATTTACTATTTTATAATGTAATATAGTGTAGTAAAGCTAGAACACACTTTGGAGATCAATACAAGGGGGTTAGAATTCTGGCTGTGGTATACAGATTGAACTTCTGTGAGCTCAGGGGTTAAATCCATAAAATTTTCATGATAATAGCACTTTTGGGGGATTTCGTGAAGGTTAAATGAAATACCACGTGGGAAGAGCCTGGTAGGTTGCTTGGCATACAATAGACCTTCAATAAACAGTAATTGTTATATCTCTGTTTATTGTTCTTTGGAAAATACCCATCCCCTGTTAGCAGTTATACATACACCTCCTTGATCCGTCCCCCCTCCATCCCCACTGCCATGGCCCAGTATTCAGGCCACTGTCCTCATCTCCCAGCTGGGCTAGTAGAGCAGCCTCTTATACGAGCCCTTCTTCTGCTCTTGCCTCCCTGTAATTTATTGTCCATATAACTGCCACAGCGGTTTTGCAAAATAAATAAATAAATAAATAAATAAAAATAATAATCCAATCATATAATCCCCTTACTTCAAACCCTCAGTGGCCTCCCAGTGATTTGGGGATGTAACTCAAACTGCTTGCCACAGTCTACAAGCAAAGGCAGAACTAATCTAAATATCAGAGGAAGCAAACTCGGGGAAAGAACATAGGAAAAATAGTTAACCTCCGTGTTCGCTTGCAAGGGCTGCCGTAATAAAGTACCACAGACTGGGTGGTTTAATCACAGAAGACTTATTTTTTCACAATTCCAGAGGCATCAAAGTGTCGGCAAGTTTCGTTTCTTCTAAGCCGTCTCTCCTTGGTTTGTAGATGGCCGTCCTCTCTCTGTCTTCACATGGTCTATGTGTCTGCGTCCTAATCTCTTCTTATAAGGAGACCAGTTATATTGGATTAGGGCCCATGCTAGTGACCTCTTTTTAACTTAATTATCTCTTTAAGACCCTGTTTTCAAATACGGTCACATCCTGAAGTATTGAGAGTTAGGACTTCAGCATATGAATTTTGGGGAAATATAATTTAGTCCATAATACTTCTTTATGCATCCTCCCATCTTTTACTGGCATTTCTGTAAGTTCATTTCCACACAGTTTTAACAACAGTCACCATAACGTATATTATAAACATGTTTCTTAAAAGATGCTACTGTTTAGAACATGGACTCAGGTAGACGTTTTGTCCCCGGTACCCTGGTTTTCATTCTGGTTTCGTGGCTTTCATTTCTTGTCATTCTCTTTCTCCTTCGTTTTGCGTCAGCCCCACTGGCCTCTTTTCTAGTCTTTGAACACACTAAGCCTCGTTCCTGCCTCTGACCGTTTCCCCATTCACTCTTCCTGCCTGGAATCCAATTCTTCAGCTCTTCCAAGGGCTCATGCTCACTGCTTTGAGGAAGCAGCTCAGACCGCAAATCTAGAGTAGACTTGCCAGTCTCTCGCTCTCTTACGAACCTATTTTTTTCCTCTTAGAAATGATAGCATTCTGTCACTTAATTTATTTTCTACTACTACATTTGTACTCTGACTGCCCCAATAGCATGTTAACCCCCGAGGCAGGGAACTGCTTACCACTGTGGCGTCAGAGTCTAGACTGGAACCTGGCACACAACCTGTGCTCATTCAATAAACGTTTATTGATTGAATAAATGTGTCCCAATGAAATCTCTTTACCAAACACCTGTTTTTAGAATCTTTCTCAATCTCAAAGATCCATGCGATTGTATAAGGCAAATACAGAATACATCACAAAGACCGAGGTTATAATTCTGAATACAAAACATTTTTCAAGAATCATTGTCTGTTTGCTCCCATGATAGTTTCCTTGATTAAGAAAGTATCATATTATGTAAGAATTTGAAAATTCTTGTTATTATCATGAAATCATTATAACCGTAAGAATTAACATATACCCGCACCTTACAATAAATTTATAAAGAAAAATACCATTAGCCTAATTCCTCCCTCTCCTGAACTCCTCCCACTCTCTTGGAATACCAATGGTATTAGTATTTTATAGGACACAATGTGGTAAATCCTATTCTAGGAAACAAGTGAATACTGTCAACTAAAGTGAACAGTCTCACCTAGGACCTTGTTAGAAATGCAAACTGTCTGGCCCCACCTTATGACTAATCTTTTTTGGCATAAATCAACATATTTGAGTGTGAGGTCCAGCAATCTGTGCTTTAACAAGCCCTGCAGGTGATTCTGATGTAAAGTTTGAGAACCACTGCGCTAAACTGACCTTCAAAGTAACTTTTGATTTCTCAGAAATCTCGTGAAATGGTCTAGTTGTCTACACGTAATCAACCTTAATTGTTTTCAGTAGCTTATCTCCCCTTGCCCTGACTTGCAGTGACATAGTGTTTCTGCTTTTGCAATTAATTAATTAATTAATACTTTTGCAATTGCTCTTACGAAGCTAACAGTGATTTCTCCCACTCTTGAACCTATTTGAGTGAAATCACCATCTTCTAGGGTCCAACACACATCACCTGCTTCCTGGATTGCCTAACTATTCCTGGAACAATTTGGCTTTTATGAGCTTATTACTACTGTTTTGTTGTTGTTTCCAATTTTCATTCAAATAAAAATTTAATTAACTTTTCTGCTTTCCAAAGATGTAGATTTTTAAAAATTAAAACTCATGATACATCAGCCTTATCTAGACTTTTTTTCTCACTATACTGCCAAAGGCTATGTTTTTCTTAGGATGCTTATTCAATAAAGAACTTTCTCATTTTCCCTCAAGCTACCTTTCTTTATGTGGCTCTGCATTCTTTAGAGTAAGAAATATTCAGATTCATTTTTATGAGGATACCTTTAGCACTAGGGCATTGAGTGACACCAACTGCTCTTTATCTTTTTTGGCATAAATCCAATTTCCCAATGAGCATCCAGGAGAGATTATTTTATCTTGATAGCAAATGTTGTTCTTTCCAGTTATGGAGTATCTAGCCCCTGGCCATACAGTGCTGTAAACTATTGTTTAAGGAAATGACGTACAGGGAAGCAACAATTTTTGTAGTTTTATTAGTAGTAAAATGCTATATTATCTGTAATAATAACTACTATTATTGAACAAATTCTGCTCTAGAAACTGGGACAAGTGATTTACATATATTATTTCAGTTAATACTCATTAAAATCTTTACCTGTGAGGACATGTGACTTGGCCCAGGTCATACAACTAGATGTTAGAACCAAGATTGAACTCCTGAATTCCTGATCTTAAGCATTATGCTAAACTCAGATTGCATTAAGCTCAGATTGTAATCCTTTGTCAAAAATCTGTGTCAGTGATATTGTCATTATGTTCCCACCTTTCTTATCTGCCAAAATACCTATTTTGGTACTTCTTTGTGAACCTGTCTTCTTCAGACATTGGAAAGAATCTGAATAATGGCCATTATCAGAAGCAAAGGGAAACTCACGTACAAGGAGTGTTTTCATGAGAGAGTCACTCTGCTCAGCATCTTATTTCAGCAATTTCATTTGATCTCGATCAAAGTGTTACCTGATATGAGCGGTTGCTGCTATTGAGGGGTTAACTGACTTGCCCAAATCACACAGCTAATAGGTGGCAGAGCATGAATAGGTGTGACTTACAGGGGGTTTGTCTTCTATCCCAATCACCAGTGGATGTGGTGGCAAGAATAATTTTTTAAGTTATTTGCCAAGATCCTCAACTCTCCAAAGACAAATTCCTTACAGACATTATGGTTTTTCTCCACTTTGCTCCTGTGGGTGGCCACGTTTCCTCTTTTTGATAGCTCCCTTCTTTATAGAGACCCATCAGATGATAGACTATAAAAAATCACTAAAGTTAAAAGATTTTGTGTCTCTGCATTGCTTGTTGTAACAGTTCCCAGGGGAGATGTGTCTTTGAAGAAACAAGGTTTCTGGTAAGTAATTGGGGTTTCTTTTTGCCCGTAAGTAGACATTGTTTTCTGATTTTGTTGTGTGTTGGTGTGCATTTTTTGGTAGAGATTCATTATCTCATTGAAAACTTAAGATGCTTGTAAAAACATGATATATCATATCTGTATTTACTCTTTAATTATCAAACCCTCCTAGCCTGAAAAATTGGTAATTATTTTTTCACACTTATTTACTTCATACTTACTAGGTCCTGTTACAGAAGTGAAAACTGACATATATGTCACCAGCTTTGGACCTGTTTCTGATGTTGAAATGGTAGGTGTTTGGGAAATTTAATCTACCCTTTGAGGTTTGAAGAAAACATGCAGAAAAGAGAGCAATTAATATTTATTTTGTTGTCAGTCAGACAAAGCTAGGAAGCCAAAGAATGGCCTAATTAAACTTAAAGGTGTTTAAAGAGTAAGACATTGCATTTGCATTTCATCTTTAACATTTGAGTATTTGTTGATTTGGTATCATTCTCAACGAAGAGAAGAACTTTCTTATTACTGGTCCCCGTAGCACAACCTTGTGTATAGGTTTTTGTTTTTGTTTTTTCCTTAGGAAACTATTGTGGAGGAAAAAATTAGCAATTATAATTAGTTCGGGTATGCACTAATTTAGATACTGTATCATAGTCCTAATTGCATTTACTATTTCATGTTGATCCAATTGCTTGTTGCCTACCCACCTTTCCCTGCCTCTCTTGCTTGCTTAAAGAGCTTAGAATACCATGCACTGGTCAGGAAGAATCTATGCATTCAGCTGTGCTATCTTACATTCAATATATTTGGTTTGTACGACAAAGAACCTACTTTACTTTTTTCCTTGACTCAAAGCTCCTAGTGATTTGAAACTCTTGGGTTATTTGACTAATGTTAAAAAACTTTGTGAAAATAAAACTTATCTTTTACAAATTTTGTCTTTAAAAAAAGCCTACAATTTTATGATTAATTGTACAATGATATTTGTTACACATTAACTGATTTTTGCTATCTGGTCTGAAGTAAAACACAACTGCAATTACCTAGTGCTGGTGGTTTTATTAAATGATAGTAATTTATTCTTAAATGATTAATACATGTGGTAATTTATTTATCTTGTGAATGTAGAAGATGAAGGTGTCAAGATGGACATAACATACTTTAACCGCTGAGACGCTCTTTGCTCCATTAATTTAAGATCATTTCTGTTCCTATTAATTTTTTTAGGGTTGTCTTTTTTATGGGTGGAAAAGAGACTAGAATTTAATGCACTATTGCTGCATGCTTACGAGTAGTCATTTGTGATTTAAACATATCTCACACTCATTTCCCTAGGAGTACACAATGGATGTGTTCTTCAGACAGACATGGATTGACAAAAGACTGAAGTATGATGGCCCCATTGAAATTTTGAGACTGAACAATATGATGGTAACAAAAGTGTGGACCCCTGATACTTTCTTCAGGAATGGAAAGAAATCTGTCTCACATAACATGACAGCTCCAAATAAGCTTTTCAGAATTATGAGAAATGGCACTATTTTATACACAATGAGGTAATCATATTTTTCTTTTTCCTTCTTCCATTTTACTCCTTTGTTCTTTTGGTTCTTTCTTCTCTTTCTCCTTCCATTCCTCCCTCCCTCCTTTCCTTCCTTCTTGCCTTCCCATTTTAGAATCCATAAAATTATTTTTAAGAAAAGGTTGATTTTATTTAATTGCATTTTTTTCGTCATAGACTCACCATAAGTGCGGAGTGTCCCATGAGATTGGTGGATTTTCCCATGGACGGTCATGCATGCCCTTTGAAATTTGGGAGTTGTAAGTTATAATACAAATGTTGTTAGAATTTATGATGACCTCAGTTTGCTGATATATATGTATAATATTTTTCATAGTCCAACATTTAAATCATTGTTCATGACAAAAACTGTTGAGGTTTGAATTTTAGGGGAATGTTTATTAACTAATATTTTAAAATAAATAAAAACAACCCTCTTTCCCTGCAAAAAAACAAAAGCCTATTTATACAGATAGTCTAGGTGGTTTGAGTAATAAGTAATTGGTTGATCATCATTGGTGAAATTTAGGGACCTCTGAACTCTACGTGTTGGTGGTGTGACATAGAAAGTACAAATGATATATATGTAATTTAACAGTTTCTGTTGCAAGTAGAGTCCTTTATAGCAGGTTTGGAAAAAGTCCAAAGAAAGTTCAGGCCTTCCTGACATGGCATAGGTTAAAATAACAAAAGTAGCGTCGTTAGTATAAAAGTGGCTGAAACATGACAAAAGCATAGTAAGAGATGTGGTCTGAGATCGTATAGTGCCCTGTAGACCACATTAAGGAGTTTGGATTCTGTCTAAAAGCAATGGGAAGCCTTGGGAGGGTTTTACAAAAGGGTGTGGCTTTCTTTGATTGACATTTCATCATTTAACTTTTGTATGGAGAATGGGCGGTAGAGAGGCTGAGAGGAAGAGTTGGAGCAACAGCGCAAGTACCAGCAAGGAGGGTGGTGGGTCAGACTAGGACAGTACTAGAAGAGAACGTGTGTGTGTATATACGTGTGTTTGGGAAATTTTGTAGAGATGAAGGCAAGAGGATGAGATGAATGGATAGGACAGAATATAAGATTCCTTTCCTCAAGCTCCCTTCTCTGAGATGGAAGCGAAATGTGATTGCCTTTCTAAGGTCTGCCTCAAATTTTCAGTTCAATCAGAATCTACCAAAAATAGATGCTGGCTTTTACTATTGCTTCAGATTCTTAGTCGCGCTGATTGTGAAACTGCTGCCTGCTGTTATCCTCGCTCACTGCTTAACTTAATGAGACTCGGCAGTCACCATGCTTTTTATAACCCCCAGTAATCACGATATTCAGTGGGCTAACTTGAAGCCAGGGAGAGTCATTTGTTCACTGACCAATGATTTAATGAGAGAAGAAAAAAAACAGAAAAATACATAGGAAGGGTGATCTCACTGGGGCCAGAATTAAAATCCATTTGTGGTGTAATCATTTAAATTTCACCCAGGATAGTTCTTATCTAGAGAAAGTCCTTTCCACCCTCTACTTCCCTCGAGTTCTCATAGAAAACATTCTTCTGTGAGAGTGAACGTAGTTGGGACTCAGTCACGGCTTGTATGGAATAAAGATGTCACACCTTGGAAGCTGATGCTTTCAGACTGAGAATTCAAAAGAGACACATCATACCCAGCAAGTGAGGATTCTTAAGTACTTTGGAAAGAGAAAAAAACACTGTTTAACTCTGTTTACGATTCAGAGGAATGAGAAACCCAGGAAAGAAGAAGGCTATTCTAGCAAGGGAGGGTAGCCAAGAAAAGGATACCTGGTCTAAAATATCATAGACAAGAACATAGTATACAGGGGCTTTAAAGGGTTAATGAAGTGTGAATATATTTCGGGAGATAAATGCTGACACGTAACTGTATAATGCTAAATGACAACGCAAGCCTTACAGTTTGTTTTGCAAGGCCATTTATAAAGACAGTCTTCTTAGGTAGCAGCTTCTTTTGTAGAATGGAACAGTTCCGTCAAAGACCTACTTACTGTGCTCTAGCCATTTTAGGAAGGTTTTTTGGGGGGGGGTGAGGGGTGGTAGGGGACACACAATTTATTTTGGTTCTTTTGAACTTACTTGTGTATAAGCCAAGCTATCTGTTCTGGGGACTGGTAGGCAAGCAGCTGGTCTCCATTTGCACTGAATGCCCAATAATAGAAAATAGGCTTAAATTGCCACTGGGAGGGATTTGTTGAAGACGGAAGGGAAATGTCCTGATTGTAAGAGTTTAAAGGTAGTGGAACTGGTGGTGTAATTATATTCCCTGGAGAGCGTCACAAAGGGTAAAGCAGTTGTCACCGTAGGATGGTTTCCCAAATAGAGTAGGTATTGCCCAGAGGCAGAGTCTGGAATAGGTGACCCCTGGAGAGCTAACCAACAACAGGATCTGTTTGTTTTTGTTGTTGTATTATTACAGGCAGCGTCTGGTACATTTCTAAATAGCAGAGCTGCATTAGGGTAGAAGTTAGTATTGGTCAAGCCCTGGAAGTGAATTAGGAATGAAAGAAACAGAGAGTTGACAGTACTGCTATGGGGTTTAATATGTCTGGTTTCCAGCTGCTTATGCTATTAACATGGAAACACCCAAGTGAATTGGTGCATACGTAGTAGCATTTCAGATGCCTCGGTTTAATAGTCGCTCCTCCTCCAATTCTTTGGCATAAAAGCAGTAAATCCTGTTGAGTTGCAAGGCTATTTATTTAATCTCTACAGTTTTCTGAATTTTGAACATGTTTGAATAAATCATAATGAACATTGTTTGTATTTATTCCACCTTTCTTGAACATGTACTATTTTTCTTAAGTGTGGACCACCAAACGTGGGCGGAAAAGGAAAACTGACTCTAGCTGCGTTCTGTGCTCTCATGCAGATGCATATCCAAAGAGTGAGATGATCTATACTTGGACAAAAGGTCCTGAGAAATCAGTTGAAGTTCCAAAGGAGTCTTCCAGTTTAGTTCAATATGACTTGATCGGGCAAACAGTATCGAGTGAAACTATCAAATCGATTACCGGTGAGATGTTTAATGATTAAAGTCGATATGCTACCTGGCATTAGCAATAGAGTTTAGTCTGCACTTTTTCACTGAAATATCCAGTGTTTTTAGGGGAACAACAAAAATTTTCCAGAAATAGAATTGATGCATAAATCAGAGCTCAGAATTTCTTTGTTTATATTTATAATCTTAGTTTAAAATAAATTCTGACTTGGTAAGATGTGAAAAGTGAGTTGATTTTCTTATTTCAAAATGAAAATTCAGTAATAAAATATGTTAACACTGTTTTCAACCAAATTATGAGGCAGGAAGTCTTATTTTCATGGTGATTTTCAAAAATCTTTTTTAATTTTGTCAAATTTCATGGTGCTGCCTTCCGTCTTCTTTCCAAAGTAAACCAAAATCTAAAAATTAATTTAAAAAGTATATTAAGAGTATACATTAAAGTTGTCACACTGGAAGGTGGATGGTTACTATTGATGATTCTTGGTTTATATTTGCTTTTAGAATGTGAATAGAAAGAATCATAGGATTTAGTTTTTATCATATTCAATGGGAAAAATTGGCTGATTATTGCTTATTCTAAAGACATTTCTTATATACCCAGATCACCAGAAAAAATACCATTTTGATTATAGTTGTCTTAGTCCATTTGGGCTGCTATAACAAAAT